AATTGGTATGCCAAAGCCATGGGATAGCTAGTCAATTAATACTCAATGATAATAAAGGTGACTTTTTAATAATTTGTTGGGAGAACAGCCAACTTGTAATTATTGGGGTCCTAAACCAGACAAAGAAGTCTGCCCAGGGTCTGGAGTGGATGTAGGGTACACATGAAGAGTAGGTCACTGCTTTCAACATCTTGAAGATGTTGTTATCTCCCTACTATCATGTCAACAAAACTGGGACCAAATGGAAGGTTTGCAGACTTGACATCTGTAAGTTAGTTTAAATTAACTGTTAGTTGAAATTACTTCCTAAATTCACTATGAAAAGAACAAAGGAAGGGCCTCCCTCGTGGTGCAGGGGGTTAAGACTCAACCTATGAAGCCGAAGCCATCCGCAGCCTCTGCAGCACGAGTTTGAATCCCTGGCCGGCCATGGAGCAACCCACATGGCACAGCAGACCTCTCCTGACTCGCCCACTGCTCCCCTCAGCAGTGTACTTTGGTCATTCTGCCTATTCCGTTCCCCACTCTGTCTCTGGTGAATCCTCTAACCCCCCACACCTCTGGCCTGTGCCCAAGCTCTTGTATGCATAAATAATCTTTAAAAAAAAAAAAAAGAACAAAGACAAAAAAAGGTTACCTAAAATAAACCAAAAGAAAGTCAGTAATTTTGTTACAGGCAGACCTAACTAGTCCTAACTAGTTGGTGTTTCCACAGCTCCTTTAAGCTGTAAGTGCCGAGTCAGGAATAGAAACACTGTGTTTCCTGTAGGTCTGCTGTGGTACCTCAGGAAACTCCCCTCCTCTGGACCCTCAGGTTCTCATTCGTACTGCTTATTCCTTGCTTTACACACACACTTACACACACACACACACACACACACTCTCTCTCTCTTTATTTGTTGATATTGTAGTTTGTTCCAAAAAATATTCAGGGCAGCTCATAATCATACCATGAATACTTAACAAGATCAGATAGGATAAAACATTTACATACACACACACACACACACACACAATTTTGAACTCCTTAAAATTAGAAACAGATCAGGATATTACTTTAAAAGTGGTAGGTAAATAAAATTAATAAGACTGAGGAGCAAGGGACCAGGACTTTGATTCTTTGACACACAAACAACCATGTGCCTTTTCATTCGACATAATTTTGAAGGCAAGGCATTCTTACTTCCTGTATTCATCTTTAACAAAAAGCTATTTTAAGGGGAAAAAGGGATGTGAACTTGGATTAGCATAGCTCCAAATCATAAACCGAAGTCAGCAGAGCTTGTTAAGTCTTCTACAGCCTGGACTTCAAACTCAGGACTTGTGCCCACCTTCTGATAAGATCTTTCCAGAGCTCTGACCTCTGTCCAAGTCAGTTTTCAAATCAAAAGGCTTTGAACTCCTGGCACGTTGACAGTTTGGACCTTGGGTGTTTATCAAGAACTTCCTCAAGATAGAAGGGTGACTATGACCACGCCAACCCCCCAGAGTTTCCCCTTGTAGCAGCCGGCACCCAGCCAGGACCTCAGAACTTCAAGGAAGGAATGAGTCTGAACTGTCTGTGTGTGGTACATAGCAGGCATGTAGCTCAATACAGAGTTTAATAAATGAAAAGAGGCCCAGTGAGCCAGGTTTCAGTTGATTCTGACTCCAAATTGTGCAGCCTGGAATTTATTTGTGTTTATAATAAGAGGGAGCAATGATTGCCCCCTTGGCATCGCATGTGTGAGTGCCAAGGAGGAGACATTAACAATACCAGGCACAGGCATGAATCTCTACTTACTGTTCATCAGCAGGCTGCCTGCTCGCTTTCTGAACTGAGCAGTCCCTCACCTCGGTTTTGTGGAGCAGGTCCAAGGCTTTTGACCCCCAGGAACCTTCTGGTCTGAAGTCAGAAACATTTCAGAGTTCTCCAGCGCTTTCTACAGAAAATAGCTGGGCCTCCATGCGCTGTCTCCTTATAACTGCAATCATGCAACTAAACCTAATTTTGAATTTTTGCCTGCTTTGCTCTCTCCCAGCACCTATACTCTTTTCCCCTATCAATTTGCTATGTTCCAGCTCCAGTCACACCAGGTTCTTTAGGGTTTTTCAAACACATCAAATTTCTTCCCACCCCCAGTCTGCGCACTGCTTTCTCTGTGGCTATAACTGCCTTCCACTGGCTGTTCCCAAGGCCTCCTCTCATTAAGCAGGTCTTAAATCAAATATTATCTCCTCATAGACATGTCCACCCTATAAAAGAGACACATCTCCAGTAAATCTCCAGCCTATCACTCTATTTTTTCTGTACCACTTACTGTAAGTTGTAACTGTCTTCTTTATTTACTGATATTACCTGGGTCCCTCCCTAGAATATTAGTTCTAGGAGGACTCAGTTTCAGATGCTTCATATCCTGTTATAGAGCACATATTTCCCCCACCCTGCAAAAGGGCAAGAGCAGATATTGTAATGATTTGGCAGTTAGGACATTTTCAGTATCAGAGAAGTCCTTCAATTAAGACACTCAGAGGAGGTTCTCTGTGCCTCCTAGTTCTGCAGACAGCCACCTTGTCTCATGCAGTGCCTAGTGTCCCTGAAATACCAGCTGAAGGTCAGAGTGAGAAGACTTGGCCGGATGGGGCACTGGTCACTAGGATTCCTTTTAACTCTAGCAAAGTGGATACTGTTGGCATCAAAGACCCCTTCATCGACCTCAACTACATGGTCTACATGCTCAAATATGATTCTACCCATGGCAAGTTCAATACCACAGTCAAGGCTGAGAATAGGAAGTTTGTCATCAATGGAAAATCCATCTCCATCTTCCAGGAGTGAGATCCCATTAACATCAAATGGGGTGATCCTAGTGCCGAATATATTGTGGACCCACAAGTGTCTTCACTACCTTGGAGAAGGCTGGGACTCACCTGAATGCTGAGGCCACAAGGGTCATGATCTTTGCCCTTTCTGCTCATGCTCCCACAATTGTGATGGGCGTGAGAAGTACAACTCCTTTAAGACTGTCAGCAATGCCTGCTGTACCACCGACCTTTGGCTCCCCAGCCAAGAACATCTGTGATAACTTCGGCATCATGGAGGAACTCATGACCGCAGTATCTGCTATCACTGCCCCCCAAAAGGTTTTGGAGGTCCCCTCTGGGAAGCTGGGCATGGCGGCCACGGAGCTGCCCACAACGTCATCCCTGCTTCTACTGATACCTCCAAGGCTGTGGGCAAGGTCATTCCTGAGCAGAATGGAAAGCTAACTGGCATGACCTTTTGGGTCCCCACCCCAATGTACCACCTGGAGAAAGTGGCCAAATACGATGACATCAAGAAAGTGGCAACGCAGGTGTCACAAGGCCCCCTCAAGGGCATTCTCCACGACACTGAGGACCAGGTTGCCTCCTGCAATTTTAACAGCGATGCCCACTCCTGCACCTTCAGTGCTGGGACTGGCACTGACCTCAGTGACCACTCTGTCAAGCTCATTTCCTGGTATGAGAATGAATTTGGTTACAGCAACAGGGTGGTGGACCTCATGGTCTCCAAGGAGTAAGAACCTCCTGTGCCACAAGCCCCAGTGAGTACAAAAGGAAGAGGGGCACCCTCAGCACTGGGGAGCCCTTGCCCCGCTCATCCACACAGCGTCCCCTGACCTGTCACAGCTCCATCCCGGACCCCCTGCAGAAGGGGAGGGCCTGAGGGTGCCATCAATAAAGTATACTGTACCGAGCCAAAAACAGAGATACTCAGAGGAAATGGGTAGAATTTTCCTCGTGAAGCACGGCTTATCAAATCAACGTACTTAATATATAGACATTGAGCAAATAAGCTAGGATCAGAGTGGCTTTCTTTGCTACAAAATTGGACAAAGAGCTACTAGGAGATACAACAGAAGAAACAACTTCCATTTCCTGCTTTGCCTGATGGTGTCAGGGTTGTTGATCTTCCCCCAGAGGGGAAGGAGGGCAGTTTCTAAACCAGCCCCAACAAACAGAAACCAATCCAGTCAGATCCATCACAAACCCAGAGCAGCTTTGACATCCTTAAGGCTATTTACCCAGATCCCTGGTGGATAGAAATAGAAATCAATTCTTGCTTCAAAGTATTCTGCAGCTGACCTGATGACGCAGCAACACAAAATTTTATTTTAGCATGTTGACAACCAAATTCAAGTAAATTTAGGTCCAAATTTATAGAACTGGATGGATGAGGTTCACAATCTGATGTTATGATTAATGCTTATACTCATGCTTCCTTTTGGGCAACTTGATACAGGAAGTCGGTTTTTAAAATAATTATTTTCGGGCCTCCCCAGTGGCTCAGCGGTTGAGTGCTGGGTTACGAAGCTGCCCACGGCCTCTGCGGCGCCAGTTCGATCCCCGGCTGCTCCCCGGCCACCGGAGGAGGGTCCCACATGGCGCGCAGACCTCTCCTGCCGCCCGCTGCTCCCCTCAGCAGTGTACTTCGGTCCTTCTGCCTGCTCTGCCTCCTGCTCTGGCTCTGGTGAATTCTCTCACCCTCCCGCGCTTCTGACTGTACCCAGTGCATGTATAAACAAACAAAACAAACAAACAAACAAACAAATAAATAAATAAATAAAACCTGCCTCTATAAAAAAAAAATTTTAAATAAATAAAATAATTATTTTCTAATATTTGAGGATAAGAAACAGTTCATTTGGGGGGTGTGCCCTTTTTTAATAAATTGTGGCTGTATTTTGAAAAAATAAAAGTTCTTATCTTTAAAAGACGCATATCAAAACATGTATGGACTAGAAAAAAGGAGGTCTGATATTTACTTCAAAATAATGCCAGGGAAAGGGACAAGGTGGGAGCACAGAAAAAGCAGCGGTGCCCTGAGCTGATCAAGCCAGGAAGTTAGGACATGGGTCCATGGGGTAATTAAACCACTTGCTCTACCTTGCACATGTTTGACATTTCCTCTAACAACAAGACATTTTCAAGGAGCACTTTAAACTGCTCATCTTCACTCGTGAAATTTCAAAAGTTACCTGAAGGTGAAGATCTCGCCTTTCAAGTCCTGCGCTGGGTTCTCCTGGATGACGTCCTGGGTCAGGGGTGAGTGGTGGCGCAGGGATTTGGAGTGGGGCAGGGTCCCCATGTGACTGTAGCTGTCACACGACCGAATGGGAGGAGGGCCCTTCTTCTTGCGCGGAAGGGTGCCGTGTATGGACACGTCTTGATAGGCATCTGCACGGTGCTCAGCGAGAGGGGACTTGCTGCTCAGAAGGTCCATGGACGAGGCCAGGGGGAACTGGTGATTCACGGGCATGTTTCTGGGAAGGCTGGCAAACTTTCCCGCAGCCATGCCTCCCAACTCTAAGGGGGGAAAGAAAAGAGTGATGGTGTAAATCTAAGATAATCCTAAAAAGTGACTTCCCACCCACAAAATGAAACAGACTGCAGAACAAAGGGGTGCTTCACGGAGCATTAAAAGACAAACATTCAATGGCATCCCTAGTAAAATTTACTATGAATGGGAAGTTTACTCATTTCCCCCCTCCCTTTTTTTTTTTTTTTAAAGGAGCTACAGAGGCATTCTCCAGGGCAAGCAGCTGATCTTTCAATAGAAAAGAGCAAACCAAAAAAAAATAAAATAAAATAAAGAAAGAAAAGAGCAAACACACCTCAGAGCCCTAGAAGACTATGAGCTACTTTATATTATTTCAGATGACTGAGGCTGCTGAGAAAACATGACTAACAAAAACAGATGACTGAGGTTGTACTCAAGGTTGTAGTCACAAATGCCATATAAAAAATGTTCTAAATATACTAAATAATTAGTTCACATATTCCCACCCCCACCCCCCGTAAATGATAAGAACAGGCGGAGATGGTTAGAATTCCTTAACTCCTGGGACAGTCACTTGTGTTACCCAGAGTGACAGGGCTGGATTTTTCTGGCAAAGACCTGATGCTTATTAATAAATTAATGTTCTCTAATTAACGAAGATGGCCAGGGTCAGGAGGTGGGTCATTCCTCCATACATCAGTGGGCTCAGCTGCAGGGAAAAGATTGGGGATGGGGCTCCATGGACATTATCTCCCACTGGGATCTGGAACGTGCCTGCCAGCAGCAGTGCACACGGGAGCCTGGGCAGTCAGAGAAGAGTGGGAAGGGAGAAAAAGAAAGAAAAGGAAATAAAAGGATGGGGATGAGCAGGGAAAGAAAGGGAAAATAGCACATGAGGTCATATACAAAAGTAGCCCAACAATTGTTCCCAGCTGCAATCATTAGTAGAAATATTCACCCTGAGCATGGGTGAACATTTTGGGGGTCACTCCCATGACTCCCACAAGCAAACCTTGGTTTTGATGTAAGCCAAATTATGTAAGATATTTTAAAGGGCCAACCTATAAAGAAACAGGAGCCTGAATAAAAGCACTGCAAGTCCCTGGAGACAGGAAGGATCCAGAATCTGCACCACTAGTCATGGCATCAGACGGGTCTGGACAACACAGCAGTGTAACTAAGCACCATGCACTGACCTTCCTGGAGGCTGGTGAGAACACTGCTCTGCTCTGTTGTCTGTTCTCAAGCTTTGCAACCCCCTTCCTGACAGAACACGCTTCCACTGCAGTATGAACATCTGAGAGAAAACCATCAAGCTGCAATACTACTGCAGAGTCAGTTCCACAACAGACTGGGGGGCTTGGGATGTGGCCTGAAGACAAACAAGGCGCTGTGCAGAGTTAGAGTAAGTGGGCCTGCAAAGGAAACAAGTGGCAACAAAAACACACCCCATCCTCCAGCTGCCATCTGCAACAGAGAGAAACCAAAAGTACTGGCATCTGGGAGGAAGGAGACCCTCAGCTTCTGGAATACAAGCCCAGCCCTGTCCTCAGGACTTTGCCCAACTTGGGTGCTGACTGTGCTCATGCTGAGCGTTTCTCCTAATGCTAATTCCACTTCTAACGGGACCACACAGAAGGCCTGGCTCATAGCGGGTGAAGAACAATAGGACTGAGTCCCCATGCCGCCCCTCCCAGGTCTGGCCAGTACCTGGCACACTGTCAGCACTTGCTTAACATTAATCATGGTTATTAAAAAAAAAACAACCAAACTCCCTGGCCCTCCCTACCTGACCACCAGTGACATAAGATGACTAGGATTTCCTCATCCTACAAGCACACGCTCATACCTCCCCTCCCCACCAAAGGCTGTGAACATTCGCCTGCTCAAACCATCAACACCATGTTTCTTCCCAAGCAGACCTGGATCATTTCAACGAATCTCATGGGGAGGCCTAGACCACCCCACAGAGCCTTCACTACAAGGGCCACATTGCCACATGAGACTAGTTCCAGGCTGCTATGATGGACAAAAGCTACCCTGGCTCCTGTGTCTCCAGCAGCCTGTTGCCTCCATGCTTATCCCGGATCTACCTAGATTTCAAGATCGAGCAAAAATACTCTAGAATGTCCTTTGGCAAGTTATCCATACATCAGTCAATTCCCTAGCATTAAGGGAACATTAATACCTGCACTTCCTACCGTCAATCCAACCAAGATGTAAGTGCCTACTCCAACTAAGATACTTGGAGAAACAGAGATGCCTAAGCCCATGCCCCAACCATGAATTCTAACAGCAGATAACTGATCCACAGACACCCTTGACATGCTAGAGGAAAGAACAATTAATTCTGACAAAGGATAAGGGGAGGATCTCAGAGAGGGCATCACCACAGATGAGGGTTTTGAAAGGCTCACAAGTATAGGAAGAGCCTTCTGAGAGGATGTGCTATCAACAGCATGGGAGTGCCCCACAGGCTCTGGAAACAGTAAGTCACATGGAACGGCCCAAATTGAGAAGTTCAGAAGCATTTCCAGGAAGAAGCACAGCTTAGGACCAGATCATGAAGTTCTTCAAGGCTGTGCCAAGGTGTCTGGACTTGACTTAAAGTGCTAGAGAAGATGAGGAGAGATAGAATCCAGTGTGTGTCCAGGCAGGTTGCTCTGGTAATTCTGCAGGTGAGAGAGGGAGGTGGGAAGATCATCAGGCTGATGGCAACAAGCCTACAGCAAGGTCGGGTAAGGAACTTTAACCCAGCAGCAGCCAGGGAAGGGGAGAAGAGTGAAGGGCTAGGAGCCTGGAGCCTCTGGCTGGAGAATGGGGCAATGCTGTAATTTGGCAAGTCAAGTGACAGGACCCCTGGGGAGGGCGGGTAACAAGCTCCCCACTGGAGCTTTGAGCATGAAGTACCGGGGGTACAGCTTGGTCTAGGGGGTTAACTATCAATGTGTGCAATGAGGAGCCAGGACACGACATAGTTTTAAGACTCATCAACCTAAAGGGAATATTTAAACCAGAGAGTAGATTCCTTAACTTGTTATTATCAGATATGATAACAGATGTGAAAGTACCTCTTAAACTGTCAAGAAGCATACAATATCCACGAATTATATTCCTGCTCTCTCTCACCATGCCCGTGTCAAGTCTATGAGGACCAAAGCAAGCAATGAGTTCTGAAAACTTACAGTGGTGGTTCTCAGCCAGGCCGAACATAAGGATCCTCTGGGAAACTTAAAATTCCAACACCCACGCTGATCCAGACCAATGAAATCAGAATTTCAGTGTGTAGGGTCCTGGCATTGGTTTTTTTTTTTTTAAAGCTACCCAGTACTGCCCAATGTAGAACACGGGTTGAGAGCCAGTGGCTAGGTGAGTGTCTTTGGTACAGAGTAACTGATGCTCAGATTTGTCTACCCAGGCAACAAAATGGAATGATAAGGAAGATGTGTCACTTGGTTAATAAAAGCATTCATTCATTCTGCTATTCAACACACATTTACGGAGAGCCTCCAACATAGTGAGCGCGGTGTTGGGGACCATGTCAGACTGTCCTCAGGAGGTTAACACGATACAACAGAAGCACAGTGTAACAAATGGCCCGAAGTGTTGGCAATTCCCAGGGGAGCACACAACAGCACAGCCTTTTCAATGTAGTCAACCCTCCCCTGAGGAAGGGCTACTGACCTGAAGAATAGAAAGCAGAGTCTAGTAACTGGAGGGAGATCATGCAAGCTGAAATTTCCAGAGAGATTTCAGCTATAGATAAATCGGGGTTCCGCGGCAGTTCACTGCCTCTAACTTGGGACTCTCCCCCATTACAATGCTGCCTTGCCCTGGGTTTCAGCACTTGGAAAGGTTGGCTCAGTCCTGAGCCCTGGGTCAAGCCTGAGTGGGTCCAACATCAGGGCAGTGGGCCCGGGCCAGACATGTTACTTCAAAAGACAAAACAAACTAAAGGTGAAGTTAAGAGAAGGGGGACTAGGGGTAGAAGGTGCTCATTTGCAACTGCTGGGGTCATACCGACTCCAAGTGCTTGGAGGAAATCCAAGAGGTGAAAGTACATGCTGTATAGCCACCTGCCCTATGTGATGGCTAGCATGGTAAGACAGGATCTCATGGGCCTCCATGGGGTTAAGCAACACACTATGAAGCAATCCGCAGCCTCTGCAGCCCGAGTTCAATCCCCTGCCGGACAGGAAAATACCCACATGGCACAGCAGACCTCTCTGGTCTCGCCGGCTGCTCCCCTCAGCATTGTGTTCTAGTCAGCCTGCCTATTCTGTTCCTCACTCTGTTTCTGGTGAATCCTCTCACCTACTCCCAACCCAGGCATCTCTGGCCTGTACCCGAGCTCTTGGAGGCATAAATAATCTTTAAAAAATAAAAATTAAAAAAGAGAATCTCAGATTCAAATGCCTTCATTATTCCAGATAAAGAACATCAATAGTCATTCACATAAATATATTCTCTGAGGGCTTACAGTGTACCAAGGCTAAGGATATAATGAACTAGACAAGGCCCTACTCTCATGGAACCTACTCTGGGATGGAAGTTCAACCATAGACAAGAACACAAACTAGGGAGTAGCTCAGCTGCAAATGTACTGAAGAACATAAAACAGAATGAAAAGCTAGACCATGGGGATGAGGATGTAGGACTATTTTAGAGCAGAGTGATCGGGATGGCCTCTTTGAAGAGGTAACAATGACGTGAGACTCCACTCCCCCACCAACCCCCACCCCCAGAATAAACTTGCAGTGGGAAAACACTGTTGAAGAGCAGGGCCCAAACCCAAGTCTCCAGTGTCTGGCTCTCATTTTTCCTCCATTTGGAGATGTCTGTTTCCACACCCCTAGTCATATTCTTTTTTTTAAGATTTTTATTTAGTTATGCATACGAGATCTGGAGTGTAGGTCAGAGGTGTGGAGTGAGAGGATTCACCAGAGATGGAGTGGGGAGCAGAACCGGTGGATCTACTGAAATACACTGCTGAGGGGAGCAGCAGGCGAGACTGGAGAGGTCTGCTGCGCCATGTGGGTAGCTCCCTGGCCAGGGTTGCAACTCATGCTGCAGTGGCTGGTGATGTATCACTTGATTCCATAAAATCAAAGCAGATATGTTTCAGAGTCAGATCCCTCTCTGCCACTGACTTACTAGTTGTATGGCAGGGAACAAGTAACTCAAACTCTGACCATCAGCTCCTCAATTAACAGTACCTATTGCGTTGCGGTACTTGTGAAAATATATGTGATCCATGTATGGAAAGCCCTTGACACACAGCAAGCACTCAGTCTATAGCTTGTTTTTTTTTTTTTTAACTGTAAAATTGGAGGAACTTTTTCTCTTTTTTCAATTTATGGTGTACTATTTAACCAATCTATCCAAAATATTCTTTTCAACAGAAATCAAAATGAAAATTATTGAGCTGTTTTACATTCTTTCTCATGTTAAGTCTTTGGAATCTGGTGAGTACTCCACTTACAGCACATCTCAACTCAAACTCTCCACATCGCTTTTAATGGTGTTAGATCTTTGCTCTCCCATATATGTACATGTTCCACTCACCCTCCACCAAACCATCCGTGCCAATACCCCCCTGCTACCCTTCTCGCCCCCCTTCTCTCTGGTCCCTTCTAAGCAGGGCAGGGACCTGTCTTCTTGCTTGTCATTGTGTCCCTATTACAAGGAGCATTCACTAACGAAATCATTGTTTCTTGGGCCTCCCTGGTGGCGCAAGGGGTCAAGTCAGCACTATGAAGCTATCGGCAGTCACTGCAGCACAAGTTCGATCCCTGGCCAGGGAGCTGACCCCATGGCACAGCAGACCTCTCCTGTCTTTCCCGCTGCTCCCCTCAGCAGTGTATTTCAGTCAATCTTCTTGTTCTGTTCCTCACTCTGTCTCTGGTGGGTCTTCTCACACACACCCTCTACCCCCCACACCTTTGGCCTGTATCCCAGCTCTTGTATGCGTAAATTTATAAATCTTTAAAAAAGAAATCATTGCTTCTGGGGATGACTGCAGTCAGAAAAGATGAGGCAAACGTTTTTAACCTACAGCAACAGAAATAAACACGCCAAACCAAGCAGGACACAGACACCGATGTCAGCTTTCAAAGAAAAGCTCAGGTGAGACTTTGGCCATCTGACTTCACTTCTCTCTACTGCGCAGGTAAAGATGTCCTTTCTTGGTCTAATACCACATTCTCAAATACATACAAAGGTCAAAGACTCTGTATCTTGATGTGAAAATATGAGACTCATGTGAACGTTCAGAGTTGAAATCATTATCAGGGTCAAGGAGCCTAACAAGCTTCAAATCAAGGAGCAACCTTCCTGACCTGGCCAGTGGCTGTGATTTGAAATACCCATAAAAAAGGCAAAACACTTACTATACAAAGACAGTAATGACGTCCGCTAAAGTAGAGGCAGAGATAAGCAGCCCACTAGTTTTACTTCTGAAATAAGACACACCTGACCCTTGAACAAGGGTGGTGAGTGAAGCTAACCCTCCCAGTTGAAGATCTGGTGTAACTTGTGAGTCTCCCAAAACAGACCCACAGTAGTCACTTGCTATTCACAGGGAATAGGTTTCAGGAACCACCTCCCTATCCCAAAGTCCAGGGATACTTATGTCTCCCACATTCTGCCCTCTGTATTTGGGTTTCCTCATTACACAGTAGCCAGTGGTTGAACCCTTGAATTCAGACTCCAGCAGTTCAACCCCATGTTGTTCAAGGATTAAACTGTATTCGTCATCTGGTAAGGGTTTTAAGAACTTTCTAGCATATTTTAAACACTGGCAATGTCATTGCCTCCACTGCCTCATTATGACCATGACAGAGAATTTACAGTGTGGATCTGTAATTTCATATCTTCTCTGCAGTCCAACTGGGAGAGGAAATGAAACAATAGCACATATAAAATTGGCGAATCCACTTAGAATTAAGTTTTGCTTGGGTTTAGGAATTAAGAATATCCCTTTATTTTTGAAGCAACCTTATGAAGTCTAGCCAAATGACTGAAGTATGAATAATTCTTCCACAGATTGTATTTCAAGCAACCCAGCACAGGATTTACATGATAAGGTTCTAAAGATTAGCATGTATTTGACAAGCAGCCCTTTCTAAACGAAAAGAAGATTGAGATCTTGGTGAGTCATCCTGGAAATGTCAGATTTCTCAGCCACAGTTGTAGAGAAAGTTGGAGTGAGGGGAGCCCTGGCACAGGACACCTGTCAGGTTATATATATTCCATCCGCCCCTTGTACAACCACTTGGCCTGTGGCTTCCACGTTAACTTAACAGCCCCTTCTTACTGAGAACTTCGCTCAGTCTCCCAGTGCGCTCGGAGCACCAAGGCGCAGTCCTTGGCAACTAGCAGGGAGATTATCCTCTCAAACTGACCTTCTCTCCCGCCCAAATATTTCTCTTGCAGAGATCTGGACAGCCTTGATAGATAAGAGCCAAGATTTGAAAGAGACTCTGCACCCTTGGCTCTGTGTTCTATCTCGGCTAATAGCTTTGGGGGAAAAGCAGACGGGGATTGGGGAAAAAACGGTCTTCCCTTCGCACCTGGCTTCAAGTGAATTAACACCCAAATCAGACTTTTCCAGCCCCAATACCGAGGCACGACCCATGGTGTGATCACAGAACACAACGCCTTGCCAGCTGCTTCGGAGCCCACTCGACCTCCCCCCACGAGTGCCTACACCTGGTCCAACTTCAAAGCGGCGGCAGCCTCAGCTGGTAGAAAACAGGGGGCCGAGGTCGAACCTCCTTCCCGTAGCGCCCATCACCCCTCCTTCCCAGGCCCTCACCTCCCCTTCTCAGCCCGCCCGACGCAGCGAGCGCACACAACACTATTCATTCTTCCTCAACAAAAGGAGGGGAGAGATGTTGTCAACAATTACAGGGGAGCCTCCTTCGCGTTCTTCGCAAACTTTTAAGAGCCAGACCACCGGAGAAACTCACCTCCTCCGAGCCCAGCGCTACCAGCCCAGCCCCTGGACCCGCGCGCCCCCGACTCCCACCGGCCTCCAGGCAGAGCTGGACCGAGCCGGAGCGGGGGAGGGGGCAGAGCCGCCCGAACCCGCAAGGGGGGTCGCGAGAGCCAGTGCCCGGGAAGCTGCCGCTCCAGAGCCCGGAGAAAGATGCTCGCGCTAGTCGCCGAGCGCCGCCCGCCAGGGGCCACGTCTGGGGAACCCTCGTCGTCCCGCAGCCGCGAGGGCGCAAATCCCGTCCCCCCTTAAGCCACTCCCGCCCCAAACGCCAATTCTGCTGGGGGTTGGGGGTGCGCGCCGGTTCAAGGTTCCCCAGAGCCCAGCAATCTCCAGCAAACTTCTCAGCGGGCCCTCCACGCGGAGGCGCCGCACCCCCCGCGGGACGCTGGGCGCGCGGCCGAAACTCACCACGCGCTGCGCCCGACGCCGGGGCGCTCCCGCGGGGGTTCAGGGGCGCTACACCGTCCACCCCGCGCCGCGCCGGCTCCCGGGGCAGAGGCAGCTCATGGTCGGCGGGGCGCGCCGAGAAGCCCGCGTGCGGCTCCCGCTCTGGCTCCGGCGCCGGCAGCTGCTGGCGCGGCTCTGAGCGAGCGGCGCGCACTCGGGCCCTCAACTGGTGATTTGCGGCTTGGCGGCCCCACCCCGGCGAGCCGATTCGCGAGGCTTCGCGGAACCCCCCCTCGATATTTACATGCGCTGACCTCGCCTGGCCCTCCTCTAACCCGACTTCAGAATTTCGCTCTCCTGGAGAAGCCTGCCCGTCTTAAAAGACAAACCCCCCTCAATCCACTCCTCCCCCTTCCCCAGCGTTATTTAATTACCCAGTGGATCTGCTTTGCTCCCCTGCAGACACCTGGTTGGGTTTCCGTTTAATTGACTTTGATGGGACAAAGACCCAGGTACGGCAAACGACAAGCCATGGAAAGGCAAATCAGTCACACCTGCCTGGACGTACTGAAAGCAAAGTGCGACGTGGATTTGCTTTGCAGTGCTAGGTGGCTAGGTGAGGTGAAAAACTGCAGCCTACTATCAGATGTCACCTTAGATAGCTATAGAAATAGTAACTGGCGGGCCTCTCCAGTGGCGCAGTGGTTGAGCGCTGGGTTGCGAAGCTGCCCGCAGCCTCTGCAGCGACGGTTCGATCCCCGGCTGCTCCCCGGCCACCGGAGGAGGGTCCCACATGGTGCGCAGACCTCTCCTGCCGCCCGCTGCTCCCCTCAGCAGTGTACTTCGGTCCTTCTGCCTGCTCTGCTCCCCGCTCTGGCTCTGGTGAATTCTCTCACCCTCCCGCGCTTCTGACTGTACCCAGTGCTTGTATAAATAAATAAATAAATAAATAAATCTTTAAAAAAAAAAAAAAAAAAAAGAAATAGTAACTGGCAACAAGGATAGACAAACTAACCACCAGAATAAAGTCCAGACACAGAGCAACAGTATACGGGCACTTGATTTATGTGCAAGATGGTGATGTGATGCACTGGGTGATGTGATGTCTGTCTTTCAAGAAATAATGGTGCATCAACTGAATACCCACAGAGACAAAAGAAGGGCCTGGATCCCCTACCTCATACGATACCAGAAAATGATAAAGCAAAACTATCCAAAGTAAATATAAAAAATGTATTCATTATCACGAGGGTATTCATTATCACGAGGTAGGTAAAGCCCTCTTAAACACAAATAGTAGTAACTATTTGTTAAGATTAAGAACACCTGTTCATCAAGAGCACCATTATTGAGAAGGCAAACCACAGAGTGAGAAACCATGATTGGAGCAGATATACCCAAAAAAGGGCTTGTAATGGCAACATATAAAAAGCACGTAGAAATCAGCATGAAAAAAGCAGAAAATCCAATTGAAAATAGGCAGAAGATTTCAACAGGCATTTTTTCAAGAGGGAATAGTCATGTCTCCAAAAAGCCAATGAACCCATGTAAAGGTTCTCAATTTATGAATCATTCCGGAACTGCAAATTGAAATACAATGTGAGCTCACCTCACATCCACCAGAATGGTTAAAATTAGGAAACGATAACACTTTAGAAACCTCTTTGGCATTTTATAATAAAACTAAATGAACATGTAGCCTGGGATCCAGAAATACCATCCCTAGGAGGTGTGTGTGTGTGTGTGTGTGTGTGTGTGTGTGTGTAGGGTAAGTGAAAAATTATCAAGCTTTCCGCCCTCCCACCATTAGCATTAATGATGGATCCTTGCTGTCCTGCGTGCATGCCTGATGGCGGACTCCTGGATTAGGGTGAGGGCATGCATAGGTGGGAACACCTGGACTGAGACACTGGGCGTCTCAGGGAAGCCAGGAGTAGAATGAGAACAGCAGAATGAGAGAAGAACCAGCAGAGCAGCAAAGGAAAAACAGAGGCCATGAGAGCACACCAGAGAGCCCAGAAAGAGTGAAGACTAGTGGAGGGCTGGGAGACCTGTCAGCCTCTGGGCCTCCCAGCCTCCTAGCACCCCTGCCTTGTAAAAAGCTCAATAAATGCCTGAAAAGCCACCGAGGGCTCTGGAACTCTCCTTTACCCATCTGCCCAGATCATAGAAATCATACTCTGTGCCTTCCTGGCATTACAGAGAGAGAGAGAGAGAGAGAGAGAGAGAGAGAGAGAGAGAGAGAGAGAGAGAGAGAGAGAGAATCTCCAAATAGAAGTGTATGTACATATTCCACAAAAAAGTGTAAAAATGTTTATAACATCTCTCTTTATAACAGCCCCAAGAAACAACTCAAATGCCCATCAGTGGAAAAGAGAGAAACTGTGTGGAAAACCATATAGTAATAAGAATGAATGAATCACATTACACTTAATAGGATGTTTGACTGTCACAAATTTGATGCTGAGTGAAAGGTGGACACAATGGTTCCACTGACAAAAACTTCATAAGTAGTCAAAACAGATCTGTGATATTTGATGAATACAGTGGTTATCTTGAGGGTCTTAAGACACAAAGTGGTAGAAAGAGTCCAGATATTGTTCTGGGTGCTGGTAATAATCTAGTTCTTGATCCAGATGTTGGTTACATAGATGTGTCCTATTTCATAAAATTTAACTTTCTTTCAATTAATGAAAACTAACTTGTGCATTGCTCTGAAGATAAGTTTTATTTCAATAAAATTTTTTTAGTTGTGCCATGTTGGGTATATTTCACATCATTTTCATCCCCCTAAGAAAGAACTATTGGCAAGTACATAAGATAACTATTGGCAAATATATAAGAATGAATCTCTACATTTTTTAATGGGTGTTTTATGGGTTGGTCTTTATCTTTTTACATTATTTTTTTGTTGGCTTTCCCCAACTTATTATTTTTTTAAAAAGGAACCTTCCTATTTTATTTACCTGTACATTCACTCATTTATTTTTTTTTTATAGAGAGGCATGTTTATTTATTTATTTGTTTGTTTGTTTTGCTCATACATGCACTGGGTACAGTCAGAAGCGCGGGAGGGCGAGAGAATTCACCAGAGCCAGAGCGGGGAGCAGAGCAGGCAGAAGGACCGAAGTACACTGCTGAGGGGAGCAGCGGGCGGGTCTGCGCGCCATGTGGGACCCTCCTCCAGTGGCCGGGGAGCAGCCGGGGATCGAACCGTTGCTGCAGAGGCTGCGGGCAGCTTCGCAACTCAGCGCTCAACCGCTGCGCCACCGGGGAGGCCCGGTTTTCCCCAACTTATTGCAGTGAATGTCAAACAGACACCCACTTAGTATATTATATTTCAAAGTGAATTATTTAGAAATGCATTTACTTGCTTCCTGCTGCTGTAAAGTATCACTGAGGACAGTAGTAAAAGTAATTTTGTCTTTTCTTGGTTTTCAAAATGCCCTGAGCAACTCTGTTGTTCTGTTGTGTAACCATCTCAAGCCCGGCAGATTCACTGTTGATTCAAACAGAGGGAAAAAGAATCTTGGAGCCTCAGGTATATGTGACATGCCTTTAATGCTGAACTAGGGGACAGGACACATAGGCAGGCAGGCAGGCAGCCAGCTAACCAGAGAAAAACAGAGAGAAAGATAGGAATTGTTATGTGCCCATTGTCACATAGCTGATACACTGTTGCCCATGCAAGGCACTTTCAAAGTTACCAACCATCTGTTGTTTGCAGAATGGGAAAGGTGGAAAACACAACAGATTCATTTCAAGGTTACTGGTTGTCTATAGTTTGGAAGCGGGGAAAGGGCCTGAGTTAGTCTGTTTTCTTATAATCTCTTATATGTGAGGTGTTCGCTGTTTGGAGCATCATGGGAGGTAGCAATAAAGAAAGATCACCAGGCAACTGACAACCAGAAAGACCTTGGGCAAGTGGCTGTTCCATCCTTCCCCTCCATTTCCTTATGAGTGACTGACTAAAGAAAACAATGAATGTCAAAGTGTCTACCATATGGTAGATAACATTAACTATTAGAATTGATGACACAGTCTATCATTTGTCTTCACAATATCCAGTGAGATAGGAGGCATCTCTATCCCCATTTATATAGGAGAAACCACTCAGAAAAGTCTAATGACTTCATCCATAAATTTATTCAAAGAAAAATTTGTTGTATGCCTACTATGTGCCAAGATCCATAATTTGTGGGAAGCAGAGGCAGAATTTGAATCAGGCATTTTAATTTCAAATTCTTCCACCACATGACTTTATATCCCTAGTGCCTAATATATTGTAAGTGCTTCATACACTAATGTATGAGCATCAGGAGTTTTTTTTAAGTCTTTGGATATAAGCCTTTGGATAGAGAAAAACAGAGACAGAAAAATAGAACAACTGAGCCTCCTAACCCTCTTTATACTGTTAAGTGCCCATAGTGCTATTTACATGGTTCACAAATTGAGTATATATTTAAAAATGGAATACAGTAAAAAGTCCTCCTCTTTACTCTGTCTCCCATCAGCTCAGTCCCATTCCCACAGTAGGTAACAACTACTGTAAATGTTATGTGTGCCTACCAGAGTTTTATATGTATATATATTACCCTCATCCCTATACAGAAAGTAACATACTACACACATAGTTCTACACTTTGCCTTTTTCACTCAACAATATATCTTGGAGATTTCCCCAGTACATGGTATCCCTTTATAGAGATGTATCATATTTATTCAATCAGTGCCCTGTGGATGGACATGTAGGTTGTTTCCAGTCCTTTCATTTTACAAACAGCGTTGCAATGAATAACCTTGCCCATACATCATCATTATGTGCAAGTGTATCTATCTGTAAGATAGATTTCCGGAGGTAACATTGTCGAGTCAAATAGCACTAGCTTTTATAACTTTGATAAGCAATGCCAAACTACCTTCCATGGGGATTGTACCCACATCTATTACCCAGCAATGTAAGGAAATACCTATTTTCCATATCCTGGACAGATGGTGTTATTAAATTTTGAGTTTTTATCAATCTGATAACTAAAATATATTTTTTGGCAATTTTAATTGTATTTCTCTTATAATGAGTGA